CGAGTACGCTATCCGTTACGCCACCCCTTTACCCTCTCAGCTTAACGGCTTATGCCGTAGCCTTACAGCACTCACACGTTTAACTTGGTGAGCCGGTCAGCCGTAATCGTTAGATATCGGCATGGAACCGCGAGGCCGAAGGCTTTACAAGTTTTTGAAGCTGTCTCAGAACGCGAACTGCGGCGTCGAACAGCAGTTATCGTAACAAAACAGCTTCAAATGAAGTGTCCAATTGCGTCCGAATGTGAGTGCTCATCAGTTCTGGTGAAGAAGGTTGCAACGCCACGCGGTCCCGGCGCCAAAAAAGGTTCCATATTTGTGACCAAATCCAATCCAATCCACCAATCACCTCTATAACTGCAGTTTCAGCAGAGGGCAAGCTTCTTGGATACTAACAACTGTGTGGTGCAAGAAGCTTCGTGTTCCTGCCGACTCAATGCGCTCCCTTGTATTTTTAGTAAACTGGGTTTTTTTGGGGATATGGATGTGATCTCGTGACCTAAAAACACTTTTATAACCTATACCTTCAATTGCATGATATGAGACGTGGTATTTCCTTATGCAGGAGGTGGCCTACTGACTCATTCTAAAAGCCCTACGCAATCATGCGCCCTGAGAGGGGATTTTCAATGGGAATCAGAAGGCGATGAGTGTGTGAACATCGAATGGTACAGCAAAGCAGCAGAGGTAGTTGCAGTTTCTGTGGAGAGGACCACACCTTGGGACAAAGAGAAAATTTATTATGCGCACAGTATTAAGGGATATTGTAAAGAAAGCTGTATATCAATTCTGAAGCCAGTCAAACCGTTCTTCAGCATTTATTTCAGCTATGCGGTCAAACAAAGCTGTCAAACTAGTCTGATTTGCGAATGTTTGAAATTTCAGACGTCAAGTTGTAAGACACAAGGAAGGTAATTATTAATACAAAGGCAAATCTCTATTGATCAGCTTTGAAGCCCACTTTCTTCAGAGCTTCCCTGGAACCTTTCACTTTGGCAAGCTCTTCTTGGGAATCCGTCGATCTCGTCTCCATGGTCTCCTTTCCTTTCGACTCTTTGGACAAAGATTCTTTACTCAACTTTTTCCCTGGATCGAAAAAGTTGTATAAATCAGTGGTTTCTTGGGACATGGTTCCTTCCGAGATATCTTTGCTGAGCTTACGATCCTTTGCTTTTACCACTCTTCAACTTTCTGCCCAGTCTCCACTGACGAGCTTTCAGAGCTTTCACAGACTTTACCTTCCGTCTTCTTTTCACTTTACTCTCCACCTTCTTCGCTTCCTGTCTCACGAAATTGTGGAGACCTTGTTCTTCTTGTACTCCGCTTTCATACCACTCACGTACCGCCTTTCTAAGGCGATTTATAAATATCAGCTGCATGAAAAGCACTGCTGTCATCAGGGATGTTACTACCACCAGTTTCAGTTTTGTGCGGTCCCTGAAAATCATTGTTTTAGGCACTCAGCTGTTTTTGTTATATATCCTTTGAGCAGATTCCTAATGGGCTCCCTAACGTAGTCTCTAGGAACACGTTAGACTTCTAGGCGTCTAGAATATTTCTCATCAAATGCTGCTCTACTTTACTTACTTCCCATCTCTGGTGCAAAAGGAGCGCTGGCCCAGCCCGGCGACAGGAAGGGGGAGAGGGGGTATTTCGCACAGTTGTCACTTCCCATCGACGTACCCAGCCGGGGACTGTGGAGTTTTGTGAAGCCGCGAAATGGAGCCAATCAAAAATTACAGAGACCATGTACCTGTCAACTCATGTAGAGCAATGAAATATCATCTACCATGTCGGCTCGAGAAGCCTGATAGCCCAACAAGAGTTCACAGGTTTCACCTGGGTGAGGTTGTAAATCAGCAACTAGTGAGGTAGTGAGAGTACGAAACGCCCCCCCCCCGTCGCCGAACTGCACCGAAGCGCATTCTGAAGGCAATTTTGGTGCTACTCAAGAATAGTGTTCTAAGCTTGGTTTTTGGGAATTCGGTTTTTTGCAGATTGCCATTGAATGTCTATCTTATTGTCGCAGTCAGAACGTGAGTTGTAGAATACGAGTACACACTCTGCTTTGATAGCACCTAAACTAGATGCCAAAGCGAGTTTGGCGGTTCATGGAACTTGCCATCCGCATCATCAATGAGCACCGAAACAACACTAGATACAAGATGAAAGGGTTGGGGAATCCTTGATCAATCAGGTGTTGTTCAAGGAAGAGAGGTTGTGTGGAGTACTTCATCGTTGGCATGACGTTCGGCGAGGTTTTTCATTAGAGGCCCATATCACCTCAGACCAATATTGCTGCTCGCGCAGTGTTCAATACCCTCCTCCAAAACCGCTTTATTCTAGTTCTGATACCTTGCATAACATCATTATGCTAGCTAATTATACAGCGGCGGCATAAGGTTGCTGCTGGTTGCTGCTATTGTTTTTTGTCCTCTGATGAAAATCTTGTTAGACTTTTGTTAATGAAATATTCAATTTGCAGTCTCGTTGGCACAAAAAAGCTCCTAAACACAAATGCTTGGGTTTATTATAACCTATAATGCTTTGATATGTTACACCTTGCCAGTCATGATGCTTATATTGGATCCTACATTATTCCTTGCTCGTATTTCATGCTCATTCTGAATTGTGTAGGGTATAGCTTTGACGCTGTTAGCTTTGTTATCTGTACACACAACATCTTCTGAGCGAAAAATGCGAACAGAACGCTTAGCCTAACAACATGTCACGTTTTGCAAAAAAAGCAGCTGAACAGCAGTGCAATCCCATTCCGATTTGCTTCATACATTCAAGTTACAGTTCGAGTCACTGGACAGAAATAACCCAGTAAGCTAGTAAGCTAATAGCTAATAAGCTATAGCTAATAAGGTTCAGGCATGGTGAGGCTTCCTTCATGGAGAGTACCACCTTTCAAATGGCACGTCCAGTGGGTATTTACCAGCTATGAAATTTCGGATGTGAACTGAGGGGAGGAAGGGTTCATTGAAGAGTCCTATATTGTGTAAGAGTCCTATAACTGGACTTCTGGCAGACGGAAATTGGAGAAGATGAGGCGCCATGTTTGAATTGGAGAAGGAACGGACATTTTTTTGCCTTTCACTCCTTCCATTTGGCGGAGCACGCAGGAGCAGTGCACACCAAAAGTTATCCCATGCTACGATGCGTTCCTGCTGGCGAGCACGCGTCAGCACTTGTAGGACAGGAGTTAAAATTTCTTCAGCTCTTTCCCTCTTGCACCTTCTGCGAAACAGCTGCGAATTTTTCGCTTCTTCTGTGCCTTACGAGTTTGGTAGGCGAAATATTCATCAAATGCTAATATTTTTACTATCACAACTATCGTCAGTCATCTGCAGAAGCCTAAACATGTTTCAAGATGTAAATTCACGACCTGCCCAACAAGGGCTCCATCAACTTTAGCGTTTCCGACATCGTTCTTCGAGTCCCACAAGAAGGCAGCAGGGACGTGTACCCAAACTG